TAGAAGCTGCATCTGCCACTCTCCACCCCTCCAGCAGGACAGGCTCCTCCGGGGACTTGCCAAGTGCAAGCACATCCTTTCCTGCTCGGAAGCCCCTGTCCTGACCAGGGAGCCCTTCGGCATCTGGTTTGCAGGCAAGGTGCCCGGCTCTCCTATTCTCTCTTCACTCTCACTAACTGCATGCTAAGGCCCTGCAGGTAATTAGCCTTTTGATTTCCAAAATACTTTTCTAGCAAATCAAACACCATGACTTCTTTTTTTGTTAATCCTCACCCGAGGATACTTTTCCATTGGTTTTAGGGAGAGTAGAAGGGAGAGGGAGAGACAGAGAGAAACATCCATGTGAGGGAAACACATCGATGGGTTGCCTCCTGCACAAGTCCGGACCAGGGCCCTGGCCAGGGAGGAGCTTGCAACCGAGGTATGTGCCCTTGACTGGAATCTAACCTGGGACCCTTCGGTCCACAGGCCAATGCTCTATCCACTGAGCCAAACTGGCCAGGGCCAAACACTATGACTGCCAAGAACATTTTTCTGCAATGACTGTCCCCTGGGCCCACGAATGCCACCAAGAGCTCAGAGCTCTACCCCCGAGCACTGCTTCCACCCTGCCCCATTGCCCCAGAGCCCAGGAGGTCGCAGCCAATTCCCTCAAACCCAGTCAGTTCGGTGTGGGATTCATGTGCCAGGCATCAGCAAAGCTCTGGGCAGTCTATGGGGCTTCTTCTTGGAATGCTGATTAATTTCAAGCTTAGATTGGAAAAGCATTTTTACATTAAATAAACATGCCTACATTATGCACTCAGATGCAAAATCCACACGTGTTTATAGGACAAAACAGAACACTTGAAGGAAATTCTAAGCGTGGTGGGCTACTTGAGGCTATGTCCGCACATTCTAAGAGTGTACACCATTGTCCTCTGCCATCGCCCTCTGTGGGAAAGCCTGGGACATACTGATGGACAGTCTGAGGGCCTTGGCCAGGTTTCAGCGCCCTCATAGCTCCAACCTCCTCCTCCTCACCGAGCAGCTGCTGAGTGCAGCCCCTGTGCTCCCCAGCACTCCTGAAACCGTGGCTCTAACAAATCTTTGAGGTCCTGGCCAACAGTCTCCCCAAAGCATTCCTGACCTCTGCCTAGAATCAATCACGCCTTCCTCTGGGCTTCATAACTTCCGTCAGTAAAGCAGCCCCGCAGCACAGCCATCTTACAGACTCGCTGTGCCTCTCTCCGGGTTCCAGCCCTCTGGAGAGGGGCCATATCGTATTCCTTTTTGTCATTCCAGAGCCTAGCACAGTGCCTGGCAGGCAGGGGCCACAGTGTTTGTTGGATGCAATGGGGAAAGTGTAGACACTTGCAATGCCAACACCTGAGGTCAGTGTCCCTGTTTGGGAGGAAGCAGACATAGGATGAGGGTGAAAATGGTACCAGGCTGGAGGTCCTTGGGAAGTTTTCTCATTCATTCATTCATTTGTTGTTTATCCTTCCATCAAATACTGCTGCAGATAATATGCTGGTTACTGGGATACAAAAATAAGAGCCAGGCCCTGACCTTGGTTTCTTATAGTCCATGAGAGAAAGATGTCAATAGACACAAAATTAATGCCCTAAGAGTCGATTTTCAAAGAGCTCTCTAGCCTTAGGAGCGTGGGTGAGTGGACAGGCACACTGTGGCTTGTGGATACTGTTTAGACCTCTCGTTGTGCCTTAATGCTCCTTTAGACTGAGATTTCAGAATAAAACTCACACTCATTTCTTTTGGGCCAGGCATGGTGCTGAGCTTTGAACACAGTTTAACTCCTTCAATCCTCATAATGGGCCTGAGGTGGAATGTTATTGCCCCTCTTTCCCACAAAGGGACACTGGGCGCAATGGCCTTTAGCAGTGTCTGGCACAAGGGCATCTGTAAAATGGGGTCCATTTGACCCACAGCCCATGGTCCCGAATCCTCAAAACTGCCTCAGGAAGAGAACTATCCTCGGCGTGTGAAGAGGTGAAGAGCTTCACTTGTGGGTGTGTGTGTGGCTGTGTGTGCGGGGTGGGGGAAGTGGGGGTGGTACAGAACCCATTAGACTTCGGGTGACATCTAAAGGGGGGAGATGGGTACATCGAGGTCCCTGAACAAAAACTCTGAGGCACCCAGATCCCAGGTCATCATCCCCACGTGTCTGCCAGTTTGACTGCCGCCTCCGCTTCTCTGTGGGCTTGCGAGTATAGATAAACACACACAGATACGGAAATGAGTGCCCAAAGGGAGGGCCTGTGGCAGGTTTAGGGGTCAGGGATGGAAGGAGAAAGTAGGGAGTGAGGTGAACTCAGTAGCGATGGGGGAAACCTTGGCGATGCAGTGGGATGCAGCTCCAGCAGGAAGGAAAGCAGCGGGAGGAGGGAAGCGAGGCCGATCTGGCGGCGCCTGTGGCCATCACAGGCTCTCGTGGCTCTGAGGCCACGCCTGCTCTGCTCCTGGCTCCCCAGAGGCAGGGCCACCTGGACTGCATAGAAAACCCTGGGCATAAAGGCTACTGAGGAAGTAACTGTAAGCACAGTTTCAATCATCACCGTAGAGGCCCAGGAGCGTGGTCACGGCTGCTGTGGCAGCTGTCAGCACAGTCCCCTTCCACCAACATTACCAAATGCCGACCCGGTGCCAGGCGCTGGGGGAGGCTGGGGACCCAGAAGCAGTGAGACTGGGTCCCTGTCTGAGGTGCTGTCATCCACAAGATGACACAAGAATGCAGTGTCCCCTGCCCAGGGCCCGCCCAGTCACAGAGGGCGCCGGGCACCGTGGGTGGGGCGGGAGAGGGGCCCAGGGTATTGCTAGTCAGTCCCAGGAAGGACCAGGGGCTCTTGCCCTGGCCCAGGGCCACCCGCCACTTCCATCTCAGATTCTTCAGATCCATCGTCAATACGTCCCTCCCCCTCTCCAGGACAGGGCCTCTTTCCCAGCACTCTCACGCTCACCACTGTCACGGGACATTAGCAAACACCAACTTGTCAACAATCATATTTTATTTCAACTCTCCCACCTGGTCAGATTTCAACGGTTCTCCACCTGTGGGTCGCAACCCCTTTGGCAGTAGAACTACCCTTTCACAGGGGTCGCCTAAGACCATCCTGCATATCAGATATTTACATTACAATTCATAACAGTAGCAACATTACAGTTATGAAATAGCAACGAAAATAATTTTATGGTTGGGTCACAACATGAGGAACTGTATTTAAAGGGCCAGAAGGTTGAGAACCACTGGATTAGATGGTTTTCAATCACATGTGTTTGCACTGGGACGGGTGGTGGAGGGCCACGTGGCTGCCCAGGGCTCCCCTGGTGCCACCCTGTGTGCCACCTTTTCATGGGCTCATCTCCACTCCACCTGTGACACCAGCAGACTCTGCCCACAGCCTGTCCCCTGCGGCCCCCGCCCACAGCCTGCCAACTGCGGCCTCCGCCCACAGCCTGCCCTCTGCGGCCTCCGCCCACAGCCTGCCCACTGCAGCCCCCGCCCACAGCCTGCCCACTGCGGCCTCTGCACACAGCATGCCCACTGTGGCCTCTGCGGGCATGGGGGAAGGACAGGCTCTGAGGGGAGGGGCGTGGACCACGGTAAGAGGTGGTCAGGTGAGAAGTGGCCAGGTGAGAGGTGGTCAGGTGAGAGGTGGCCAGGTGAGAGGTGGCCAGGTGAGAGGTTGTCAGGTGAGAGGTGGTCAGGTGGAGGTGGCCAGGTGAGAGGTGGCCAGGTGAGAGGTGGTCAGGTGAGAGGTGGCCAGGTGAGAGGTGGCCAGGTGAGAGGTGGTCAGGTGAGAGGTGGCCAGGTGAGAGGTGGCCAGGTGAGAGGTGGTCAGGTGAGAGGTGGCCAGGTGAGAGGTGGCCAGGTGAGAGGTGGTCAGGTGAGAGGTGGCCAGGTGAGAGGTGGCCAGGTGAGAGGTGGTCAGGTGAGAGGTGGCCAGGTGAGAGGTGGCCAGGTGAGAGGTGGTCAGGTGAGAGGTGGCCAGGTGAGAGGTGGCCAGGTGAGAGGTGGTCAGGTGAGAGGTGGCCAGGTGAGAGGTGGCCAGGTGAGAGGTGGTCAGGTGAGAGGTGGCCAGGTGAGAGGTGGCCAGGTGAGAGGTGGTCAGGTGAGAGGTGGCCAGGTGAGAGGTGGCCAGGTGAGAGGTGGTCAGGTGAGAGGTGGCCAGGTGAGAGGTGGCCAGGTGAGAGGTGGTCAGGTGAGAGGTGGCCAGGTGAGAGGTGGCCAGGTGAGAGGTGGGCCAGGTGAGAGGTGGTCAGGTGGAGGTGGTCCAGGTGAGAGGTGGTCCAGGTGAGACGTGGGCCAGGTGAGAGGTGGTCAGGTGAGAGGTGGCCAGGTGAGAGGTGGGCCAGGTGGAGGTGGCCAGGTGAGACGTGGCCAGGTGAGAGGTTGTTGGACGCGTGAGCCAGGGTGGAAGTGCCTCTGGCACCTGAGCCAGATGGGCATTGACACTAGGCTATGCCAGGACCCTGAGAAAGGACCCAGCCAGCCCCAGCCCAGCCCCAGCCCAGCCCTGGGACCTTCCAAGGCCTGCTGTCCACACGCCTCGGAAGCCACTGGTTGGCTGGACGCACAGGAATAGCCCGCGGCCTCCCGGGTGGCCCTTACCTCTGGCTCTGTGGTCTTCCTCCTTGGGGCACTTACCCCCTTCCCACCACTTGCGCTTCAGAATCTCCAGGCGGTTGTTTTCCTGCAGCTGGAGGATGGCCAGGTCGAACTCGTCCCGGAAGGCTGAGCCTGCGGCACAGAGAGCAGGGCAGGGCGTGAGTCCTCTCCCGGCACCTGCTCCTTTCCGGGAGCCTCTGGCCGATCCCTGCTTCCCTGGGGTGGGGGCCCTGCAGCTGCTGCTCTTGGTGCTACCAGGGGACCTGGAGAAGAAGAGGAGCTCGGCCTCACGCAGGAATTTCTGCTTTCCTTGTCCAGGACCCCTGGCCAGGACCCAGTGTGGGTGAAGGGACAGCATCCCAGGCAGTGTGGCACTTGCTCCCACTCACAGGCCCCTGTGGTCCAGGACACACTCAAGCAGAAAGCTGCTTGCAAAACCTCCATCTGTATCCCAGGTTTGAGGCCAAGGAGGAGAATCTGTGATGTCACCTCTCGGGTGGGCAGCTGTCTATTTTCTACTTTATTTAAATAATCTGTGGGCATTAGTAGCTCTTTCTACATTACAGCTAACAACCCTGTGCCCCGAGCAGCCACCAATGAATGAGAGGCACCCAGTGGGGTTGAAGCGCCTCTTCTCCATTTAGCGAGAATCTGGTACCGGCACCCACATCCTCACATAGGCACCAAGCGGCCAGGCCCACTGGCTGGCCCACACCCTGTCACACTGCTCCTCCCTCTCTCCCCATTCAGAAGGCTTCTGTTCAGTACAAGGTTTTTAAAAATGTTCTGGACCATATTGGTTAAGGAGCGTTGAGTCTAGATTTAGATTTAATCACAAAGACAGGCTTATATGAAGCCGTGGAAGGCTCAATGACCGGCACAGGCTGAGGCCTGATATCATTAAGAAAAAACTGCCAAGCCCTGGCTGGTTTGTCTTGGTGGATAGAGTGTCGGCCTAAAGACTGAAGGGTTCCAGGTTCGATTCTGGTCAAGGGTATACGCCCGGGTTGCAGACTTGATCCCCAGTGGTGGGTGTGCAGGAGGCAGCTGATCAATGATTCCCTCTCATCATTGATGTTTCTCTTCCTCTTCCTTCCACTCTGAACTCAAAAAAAAAAAAAAAAAAAAATACTGCCAAGAGGTTGGAAATCCACTGAGCTGCCCAGTGTTCTTGCCCAGCTCCATGGAGGCCTGAGTGGACAGCTACCCCAGGGGGAGACTATGGTGGAAAATTCAGGCAGAAGGTTAGGACAAGTAGACCAGTGCCCTCAAACTTCAATGTGCACAGGAATTACCTGGGGGCCTGGCTGAACTGCAGGCTCTGATTCAGGGTGGTTCTGCATTTTTACGGAGCTCCATGGTAATACCCTGCTGCTGGGCCAAGGGCTGCACTTTGACAGGCAAGGACAGCCCAGGACCCCACAAATGAAGGAACCTGGCCCACTGCAGCTCAGCCTGGGCTGGGAGTGCAAGCCCCAGGCCGCAGCCTCAGGCACCTGAGTGGCTGCGGGTGCCCAGCAGCATGCCTCCCGCCAGCGTGAAGAGCCCCTGGGACTAATGGACGCGGTGGCCAGTGGACAAATGAGCAGCCCAGGTTTGAAGGCAACTATCCAGCCCAGTGAGGCGCTTCAAGCCGTTTTCAAGGCATTTTCAGCTGAACCTCAGCAGCACACGGGGCCCCCTGGAAGGAGACTCCACTTGCTCCTTCTGCCCACTTAGCCCTGCACCACCTGATTAGCTTTCCATTGCACCCCTTGCTGTGTCTCCTGATTCCTGGTCCCACCACATCATGTAGGCTACAGCTATGCCCGATCTCCCACTGAAGCATGACGCATGTGCTTGTCTCCTGGACGTCACCTCAGCTGGACTGAAATTCCACCACAACAGCTGGAGCTGAGAACCTAGACTAGCCCACAGCTCACCTTCCCGCCTCCCCCTCCTTCCCACTGGGCGGGGCCCCTGGCAACATGGTCTAGGCCCACCCAGCTGGCTCCTCTATTTGCTCTGGGACCTCTGACGAGCAGCTCGTCAGCTCTAAGTGGCAGTCCTTCCCTCTGGAACCACGTCTACTGCCAAAGTGGGAAGATTCAATAAGATGGCACGTGTGCGAAAGCTCCTGTCAGACACAGAGCACAGGCACTTCCCTCCCTGCGTCCTTGGTCACCGACGGACATTTCTAGAATCCGTCTGCCAACTCTCCACCAGTTTGTTCCATGAAACTTTTAAAGCATTTGACACTTGAGCTAAAAACTGTGTTTCCTTGCTGCAGTATTATCAAGGCGCACCTCAAGTTCATTTCATGGTTCACTACAGGATCTTGAAACAAAATGTCATCCAAGAAATTTCTCCAAGGGCCTACCCTCTGTGATGTCAATGGGCATCTCTACGCATGCACACGTGAGGGTGTGCAGGTGTGTGAGTGCCCTGAGCGAGGCCCCAGGTTACAGAACTGCTGGAGTCAGAATGTACAGAGTTCAAGGATGAAACATATTATTACCTGTGTCCTTTGGCTTGGTTTCTGATCAGTCTTTAAAAGGTTATCTACTTTTATCAAAAAACAGGGGACTATGGACGAGGGGAGGGCACCAATGACCCCCTGCAGGCTAGGTGTGGGCCCTGTGGTAGGCACCTGATCGATGATCTGATATAACCCTCGCAAGCACTCTATAAGGTGGGCACGAGAAGCCTAATTTTCCAACTGGGAAAACTGACCCAGAGAAGTTAAATGACCAAAACAAGACCCCTCAGCCAGCAAGTAGGGCATCCCTAGGCTGGCCTGACTCCAGCTCATGCTCTTCTCACTTCCCAGGGCTACCTGGAGCCTATAGTTTATAGAGGCCTGGCGGGGAGTTGGGGGGGAGGGGTGAGGTGCCAGCAAAGATGCACATGCTGTACGTCAAGTTCCCCACATGGTCTGCCGGCCTCAGTCCCCACTTCTTCCCTGTGGTCTTGCACAAGGACAGGTCAGACAAGGTCAGCCCTACTCAGCGTGGCTCTCGGTTGCGTGTGGAGGAGGGTGTGCACCGAAATCACCTGGGAAACATGTCAGATGCTCCACAATCACAACCAGCAGCTCAAAGGCTTCCCTGCAACTCTGGGAGAGGTAGAGGAACGCTCAAAGCACAAGCATCCTTTAGAAGCCACCTTCTGGAAGCCAAACCTCTCTATCTCCTACACCAGCCAGATGGCACGCGGTCTGCAAACTGGACGCTGACTCAGACGCTGACTCGGAGCAGGTGCATCGGTGAGAACACATGTGACTTGAAAGCCATCTCATCAAATCGTGTCAGTCTTCTTCTGTAATAAAACTTTCACCAGGGACACTAATTGCAAAATGAATTCATTTGAGTTTTACCATTTTCTCCTTCTCCTTCCCACTACCTGATGTCAATCAATAGAGAAACGGCCAAAGGGCAGGGGAGCGGAAAGCAGAGGCTGAAAGAATCTACCCAGGGCATCAACATGCCATGTAATAATTCATTCATTCATTGCCTGGCTGGTGTGGCTTGGTGGTTGAGCGTTGACCTGTGAACCAGGAGGTCACAGTTCGACACTTGGTCAGGGCACATGCCCAGGTTGTGGGCTCCATCCCTAATGTGGAGTGTGTAGGAGGCAGCCGATCCATGATTCTCTCATCATTGATGTTTCTATCTCTCTCTCTCTCTCCCTTCTCTCTGAAATCGTTAAAAATATATTAAAATAATAATTAATGACTTCATACCTAATCAAGTGGCCCTCCAATTATTAAGGATTGAGAACTGCTTCCCTGATTAGTGGGAGCATGTGATTTGCTCCTTTTAAGCTCTCAACAATGCCCCTCCCCCCCAATGTCATGGCTACACTGGGCTTAGAAACGGGCTGTGAATCCAGGGTGCACTGTGGCCTAGTGCTCTGCTCGCCTGGCTGAGGTGCCCCGAGGCTGGGGCTCTGCGTACCGACAGGCATGCCGATGCCGTAGCCCTTGGTGTCCAGCAGGCCCCCAACCTGCGTGAGGTTGCAGTTCCGCTGCCGGTGGTACTCGTTCATGGTGGACTCCAGGAGGAAGGCATAGTTGGAGTTCAGCACCCTGGCAACCCCCTCCTCTGTGCTCTTCACGAACACGCTCGGCTGCTTGGAGTACATGTAATTCCACATGCGCTGGTAGGTCTGGTAGCGGGAGTTCTGGGAAAGGGCACACAGAGCAGGAGGAGGAAGGGAAAAGGAAATATTAGTTTAAAAAGAGAGAGAGAGCCCTGGCTAGTTTGGCTCAGTGGATAGAGTGTCGGTCTGTGGGCTGAAGGGTTCTGGGTTCGATTCCGGTCAAGGGCATGGACCTTGGTTGCAGGCTTCTCCCTGGCTGTGGTTGGGGTGTGTGTGGGAGGTAACCAATCCATGTGTCTCTGTCTCTCCTACTCCCTTCCATTCTCTCTAAAAATCAAAGGAAAAATATCCTTGTGTGAGGATTAACCAAACACAAAAAGGAGGGGGGGGGATCACAGTGGACCTTACAATTCTGGCCCTCATGCTCCTCAATCCCCTCATCTTATCCCATGGCCCTTCCTGTCCCATCACCTCTCAACGCCTGATGGCGGGAGGTGGATGGGGCCCTGACGCCTTTCACAGAAGGAGAAGGAAGACACAGGTCCGCAGGCTGTGTCCTCTGCCTGGAGGCTGGGTGCCTGGTTTGGCCTCGTCTGCCAAGGGGCTGTGGCCAAGCCCGTCTCTGATGGTGCAAATGGGAACCTGGGGGGTGTCCTTCCTTGGCCTTCAGGCTGGGGCAGTGGCCCCAGCTCCAGCCGGGACTTCTACAGAGATGCCGCCTTCAGGGCCAGCGCCAGTTCTTTCCCAGCAGCCCTCAGCCAGTTACCAGTCCAGTAACAACAGGTAATAACAGGACAGAGGGAGTCCGGGTCTCACCAAACCCTTGTTTTCACGATGTCATCACTGACCCTGTATCCACAGGCTCCAAGGCTCGCAGGGAAACAGAGACTGAGGCTTGGACTTGTTCATGAAAATGAACGTGGCTGGTTCCACCATTAACTCCGGAGACCCTGCTTCCCTGGGGTACTGAGCCTGTGGGAACCTGCCCTCTATCTGCCGTGCAGCTCACCCTGTGGCAGGGCCTCCGGGGCCTTGCAAGGGAACCCCAAGAAGCCACTAGGGTTCTGATCTGATCCAGTCTGGGATCAATAAAACCAGTGCATTTAATCTAGAGTTCCTTACACTCCAGTCATTTGCATATTATTCTAATCTTGCTTTGTCTAAGTGACCTATAAAATTAAAGTGACTTAGAAAACATTTAAATATATGCATTAGCCTCATTCTATGCAGCAATATAAATAAAAGTACAGATTAGATTCACTGCATATACATTTCTAACACTCATTTGAAAAGAAATAGGAAGCTACTGAGATTAAAAAAATAGTTCTGCCAAATAGTTCCTAAAATAATCTCAACTACCACATGTGTCCACGTGCCACACTGGGGACAGGTGGACAGTAACCCCAAGTCTCAGGGGCATTTTGTGGAGCAGGAGGAACACGAATCTCATGTGAACCCCAAAGCAGGTGCTCCAAAGAGATCTGGATGAGGAGAGAGGTCCCTGTCTCAGGGACAGATGTCTCCCCCGTGTTCTGCCCAACTCCCATGGTGGTGCGTGACCAAGTAACTTTACTTGGAAGAAGGTCATGCTGGAGCCGCCGTGGATGGTGCCGTACTCGATGGTGGTCTGGTCAGCCAGGTCGTCCACCGACTCAATGGGCACGTCCATGCGCTGCACTGTCAGGAAGGCGGCCAAGTTGGCCGTGTAGGATGAGATGATGATCAGCGTGAATGCCCACCTGCACAGAAAGAGACCAGACGCCATCGTCATCGGGCACGCCCAGGAGCCCTGGCCTACCTGGCCCTGCTGCAGCGGGGGAGAGACCAGGGGTCCTTCGTGGGAGGGACCAGGTGGGTGAGGCTGCCTGGAAGGAAACAGGGTCTTCCTTGTTTCCTACTGGAAAAGATGAGGTTGTTGCTTGATGGGGGGTGTGCATGCAGGCAGTGTGGGAGACGGAAAGGAATGGGCATGGGGTGAGTATGGGCGAAGGCTCTGAGGTTCTGCCCAGAGCTGGACTGTCTCCTCAGGAAGCAGCCAACCTTCAGGGGAGCAATGCTGTGTGCGAGGACCACCCCACGCACTCGCATGGCTCCAGGGGTGGCCACTCACCCTGGCTTTACAGCGGAGGACCTGAGGCTCAGAGGGCAAAGAACCCCCCAGTATCACACGGGTAAACGCGTGTTTAAAAGCCAGTTCTATGGATTGTCACAGCAGAAACTCCTCGAGACTGTTGACAAGCGCCTTTGGATGCTCAGGGGCTGCAGTTGGGACACACGTGCTCATGTGATGCCAAAGGAGAAGATGCTTTATTGGGTGGATGGAGCCAATTTAAAATCACAGTAAGTGTGCCACCCAGGCAGCATGCACACGAAGGCCCTTAAAACCATGTGCTCACTGCAGCAGTTGGACGAGCAGTATGGATCTCACCCTCCTCATCTGCTTACTGGGCTCTAGGGTATATCTCAGAGCGCTTGTGGCTGGATAACCACACGTTCTGACTCAGGGAAGGCGGGAGATGGTGCTCTGCATGCTTGTCCTTCTCGGTGCACATTCCCTGTCAGCTCCTCCTGTCACGTCTGAAGCAAATCTAGTCCACACGTCACAGCACCTTCACGTTTCAAAAAGCTTCGCCCCCACTGAAGCCACGGCCCCGGGAGAGCCGGAGAGAAGGAGGAGAAGGGAGCTTCAGGGGGAGGCTGGCTCCTGCTTGGGAGACCAGAGGCTGGCTGTGTGTTCCCCGAGGGCCTAACTCAGAGTGCCTATGGATTTGCACCCCCCACACTGAGGTGGACAGGCCTGGGAAGCCCCCACACCTGGTGCAGAGGGCAGGAAGCTGGTGGAGTGTTGGAGACCAGGTGTAAGCTGACACGGTCCTTGCACCTGAAGGGGCTAGCAAGGCTGGGACCCTTACCCACACAGTTTTCCCAGACTTGTTTGGATGGCGGTTATCAGTAGAATGAGAGCAACCTTTGTAGAATAACAACCTTTCATGGCTTACCAAGAAGTCTGTAACTATTTACTGAGATTTGCTGTACCGAGAATTTGTCCTTCCGCTCTGTCTCTCCCTTAGAGATTAAGGGGAACAAAGAATACATTCCTCTTGACAGACCTCCTATTCAGTGTTTTGTGTATAAAAGGCATTGCATGGTTAATAAACTTGCTGCAGTTCCTGGATGAGCTGTAGTCCTCCCGATCCTGCTCCCCTGTCTTTCTTTCTTTTCTCAATTCCCACCTCCCTGCCTCAGCCCGGCTCAACCTGTCAGGCTGGCCCTGACTGTGGAGGGTGTGAGAGGCGGCGAGGCGGCTGGGCGAGGGCCTCCCGCAGTGCCCCCTGCCACAGGCTCCTGTCTGCACACATCTGCACAGGCCTTGCTGGCCAGGCCACTCAGCCCCAGGCCGTCTCCAAGGCTGATCCGCATCCTCGCCTTGCCATGGGCCTTTCAGGCTGTTTTCTCAATCCGTCTCCCTCTTGCCTTGGCTCCCTCTGTGTGCAGACCACAGAGTGAGGACAGGCAGGGGTAGGACGTCCCAAAGCGCCCCACCCACTCCTCAGAGCCACTGAGCCGGCAGGACCAGGACTTGGGCAGCTCCCCACTGGTCTGCTTTGCCAGGCAGAGGTGGCCGGCTCTCCAACGGGGGAGCGAGGTTCTGAGCAGGGCTTATCCGAGGCTGGCACCCCCACCAGGCCCTCCTCTGCCATCTTACCAGACACCGCTGACACAGCGTGTGGACAAGGCTCGCGGCGCGATGGTAGAGCCCTGCTGCATGAAGCCCCCGACCGGAAACCAGAGGCTGTTGCCCAGGGAGTACTGGTTCACCAGTAGGCCGCACCGGCCCCGCGCACAGGCGTGCGGGCTGTACCACTCGTAAGGGGTCAACCTGTGGGGCAAAAGGAACGTTTATGGAGCCACGAGGGGCAGGGGGCGGCCGGAGACCCGGGCTCTTCTTTCTGGCCTCAGGTCTGCACTGTCACTGGGCTCCTGGCCTTGGGCAAGCCCCTTCCTTTTCTGGACTTGGATTTTTCCAACCAGAACCGAGGGGCCTGGATCATGCTGGCAGTTTCTAGCTGTTTTTCTTTCATCGTAGAAACATGTTTACTTTTCAACATAAATCCTGATGCAGAAGAATTCTAACACACGAAACAGGTGAGCAGGGAGCTGCGACTGACTGAGAGGTTCAGGCTCTGGCAGGCCTGGTGAGGCAGGCGTGTGTGCGTGTGTGTGTGTGTGTGTGTCTGTGTGTGTGTGGGTGTGTGCGTGATTATTATTGATTTTAGAGAGAGGGGCAGAAGAGAGAGAGAGAGAGAGAGAGAGAGAGAGAGAGAGAGAGAGAGAAAGAGAGAGAGACTGGTAACCAAGCTGGAGGACCATTTCCAGCACCTTCCAGGTCACCTGAGGCTGTGGTTGCTGATACAGGAGGGGCTCAACCAAAGGGGCAGGAGAGAATTAAGGAGCAGCAAAGCCAGGCTCCAGGCAGCAGCAGACCGTGTGGCCCGCGGAGGTGCCCAGCAGCGTGCCAGCGCCCAGGGACGCCCTGCTGTCACTGACAACAGGGACCCGGCACTGGCCAGGGTTGCAGGCCCAAGGGGCAGCTGGCACCAAGCAGCGTGCACATGGCCTTTGAAGACCACCAGGTGCTCAGAGGTCTTTCTCGGTGGGGCCCAATGACTTCCTGGACATGGCTGTGATTTCCACTGGAGGCAGCAGAGATGGGTGACACAGTACCTCTGGCGGCGGGGACCTGCCCCCAGCCTAGGCTCCCCATGGCTTGGGGCCCCGTCTTCTAATGGGAGAAAGCACAGCTCCCTTGGGGCCACTGAAGAGCTGGCTCTGAGGGACCCCTCCCCCCCACCAGCACACACACAGAGGTGGGACCTACACAGAGGCCCAGCCCTGCGGTCCAGGCAGAGCAGCTGCTGAGGGGGACAGAGCCCTTCAGCCCCACAGGTGCCCTCTGAGCAGTCATTCTCCCTCACAAGCGCCCTCACTGTCCTCACTGCGGGCACTGAGCTCGGGGCAGGTGCCCTCTGAGGGAGGACGAGGAGCTCCTCGCCCGGGTCCTGCTTCTGGATAGTGAAGGGCCAAGCGGGTCCATGCCCGAGCCTCAGAGAGCACACCCTCCTGTGCCCTCCCTGGAAGCCTCAGCCTGCAGGCTCCTGGGTTCTCCTTAGGCCCAGGGCAGCCTCGGGCTTCCAGGGAGTGGGGAGGGCAGGTTCTTCCCAACCCCTGCTCTGGGCCATCTCTATATAGAATTGACTTCAGAAGGGAGGAAGAGGGAGAGGGAGAGATAGAAACATTAATGATGAGAGAATCATGGGTCAGCTGCCTCCTGCACACCCCACACTGGGGATCGAGCCCACCACCGGGGCATGTGATCTGACCGGAAATTGAACCGTGACCTCCTGGTTCATAGGTCGATGTTCAACCACTGAGCAACACCAGCCGAGCTGGACCGTGTGTCTTAACGTTACTGGCAAATGCCTCTCTCCATCCTGCCTCCCTGCCATCTGCCTCCTTCATGTTCCGGTTCAACGAGGCAGCTGTGTTTTCACTGGCAGCTCTGGGCTGGGAAAGGCCAGGCCTCTGCCGAAAAGGCCTCAGTGCCGCAGCCTCCAGCCCGTTCCTGCTGCTCACCACTCAGCACTTTGTGGCAGGTCCCGGCGAAGACTGATGCCAGCAAGTGCAGTGCACAGTGCTCATCAGAGGGATCTCCTTGCCCCTCCCCTCCTCCCCTCCGGAGCAGGGGGCTGAAGACAGGGGAGCGGGCGGGGCAAGAGGCAAGGGTGCAGACGCAAGTTTGGGCAAGCTCACCTGTTGGCATTGTACACATGCGGGAATGTTGTGCCAAGGGTGGGTGGATAGTGCCAGGTCAACACCTGGGCAGAGGGGTTCAGGTTCTGAACCTCTCAGGTTCATCCCTCTCGTTTGGCCCCAAGGCCTTCTCCTCCTCCCCGCCCCTCCCAGGTAGTTCCCAGAGGTGGACACGAGGTGGCAGTGTGAGGAAAGGGATGGGAAGACTGTACCGCGCCACCAGGAAGAGGATGCAGCTGACGGCCAGGTAAGCGAGAAGCATGAAGAGCCAGACACCTGGAGAAAACGGGTCCAGGAAGGAGAAGTAGCCGGGCTTGCGTCCCTGGGGACGGAAATAAAAACAAGACTCACTGCACACATTCGATAAGAACGGCTTTGGGGCCAGGCAGTGGGGGACAGGGTCTGGTGAGCGCTGGGCTGGTCTGGCATTGCCTTGGTTCTGGCTGACCGGGCCCCTGCACTCCGCCCATGGCTCTCCAGGCAGCAGGGCCGGGTGGAGGCAGCGCTGAGCGGTCGCTGTCCGTGGTGCTGAGCGGGACACAAGTCTTCCTCTGCAGGTCACACACAGGGAGACCTCATATAAACCGTAAGCCAGCGCTGTGGGGCACAGGTTATTAGTTCCATTTTTTAAAGTGAAGCAGCCAAAGCCCAGGGAAGTTGGGAGATGTATCCAGATTACACAGCGAAGAAGTGAGAGCTGGGACTCAGACACACATTTTCTTTTTCTTTTTTTAAATTTAAATTCTTTATTGTTTTAAGTATTACACCTGTCTCCTCCCCCCATTGACCTCTCCCCAGCTGTCCCCACCCCCAAGCACACACCCTCACCTCCCTACTGTCTGTGTCCATCGCTTATGCTTATGTGCATGCATACAAGTCCTTTGGTTGATCTCTCCCCATTACCCCCACCCTCCCCTGCCTTCCCTCTGAGGTTTGATGGAATGTTCGATGCTTCTATGTCTCTGGACCTATATTTGTTCATCAATTTATGTTGTTCATTATATTCCAAATGAGTGAGATCATGTAATATTTATCTTTCTTTGATGGCTTATTTTGCTTAGCATAATGCTCTCCAGGTCCATCTATGCTGCTGCAAATGATAAGAATTCCTCCGTTTTTAGAGCAGTGTAGTATTCCATTGTGTAGATGTACCACTGTTTTTTAATCCACTCATCTGCTGATGGGCCCTTGGGCTATTTCCAGATCTTGATCTTAGTTATTGTAAATTGTGCTGCTATGTACACAGGGATGCATATATCCTTTCTGATTGGTGTTTCTGATTTCTTGGGGTATATCTCCAGAAGTGGGATTACTGGATTGAATGGTAGTTCCATTTTTAGTTTTTTTGAGGAAACTCCGTACTGTTCTCCACAGTGGTTGCACCAGTCTGCAGTCTCACCAGCAGTGCATGAGGGTTTCTTTTTCTCCACATCCTCATCAACACTTGTCGTTTGTTGGCAGACACAGGTTTTCTGACACAAAGCCCAGGCTGGGACTCCAATGGTGTGGGGAAGCAGGACTTGTTCCCAGCCCAGGGATGTGTTTGGCCAGAGTCATGGGAGTCAAAGGAGGGAGCTGGTCACAGGAAGCTGTGGGCAGTGGACCTGGAGGAGAAGGAGGGAGCCAGGAGCAGGAAGCTGTGGGCAGTAGGTGGGAGGACGAGGAGGGAGCCAGGAACCTGCCCCCTGTCTGAGCTTTGAGTCTTGGGCCAGTCCACACCCCCTCCAGTCTCAATGGGAGCTGGACTCTATCAGAGGTAACACACTTGTGCTTATACCACACACAGCCCACAGACAGCCTGTTTGTTTATCCTGCAGTGTTTACTCATTTTGATTAGTTGCCAGCATTAGTTATGGAGATTTCATTTAAAAATCCAGATTTCTCGCTGTTTTGCTTTTCTTGGGTGGTCTGGCGACACCGGGCCTATCTTCTCAGCTGCTGGAGCTGAGTGGTGGCTACCATGCCAGGTGACCTCTCCCCTCACCTCCCACAGCTCCTGTGGCCTTGTGCCAGGCCAGCCACTTCCACTCACTGTGAGACCACTGGCCAGGTGCTCCTACAGAACCACTCCCAATTGAAAAGGACATGATTTTATGATTCCAGAAATCTAGGAAGTCCATGGATAGGATAGAAACTCAGTGCTAAGCTCAGGGGTTCTGAAAATAGACTCATAGACACAGAAAACATATTGACGGTTGCCTTTGAAGAGGGGGTTGTGGGCTGGGTGAAAGGTGAAGGGATGGAGAAGTATTGATTGGCAGTTACAAAATAGTTACAGGATGGAAAACACAGCACAGGGAATGTAACCAATGATGCGGTAATGACCTGAGTGGTGCCAGGAGGGGACTGGAACTACCAGGGGAGGGACCACTTTGTGAAACAAATGACTGCTGAATCACTATGCTGTTCATCTGAAACTAATACAAAATATTATTGAATTCAAACTGCAACTGAAACACACACACACACACACACACACACAAAACTGGTGAACAAACGTCTGGCTATAAAAAGATATGTCACTTTTTGTGCTGTGGTTGGCGTGTCTTCCTCATCATGCCACGAGCAGCAGCAGACTGTGCAGGACCCGTCCTCCGAGCCCATGGGGATGGGGCTGGCACGCCCACACCTCACGTGGCCACTGACTCTGAACAAACATCATGTGAGTCCCATGTGCCCTGTCAGTCATGATCATCTTACTTTGTGTCTCTCAATTGAGAGACATCTATGAAAAAATCTTATTGTTGCTTCCTGAATCAAACCCCATTACCTGCTCAATATCAGAATCTATACTTGATTATATCACAAGTGACACTGTGATATAATGGTGCAGCTCCACTAAACACATACTAGTCACTTGGCAAGACAACATCTGATTCTACATGTGACTGGCTGATGCCAACCAGAGAGCAAAGAAGGGCAGTCATTTGAGATCTGGGTCGGGGACGCTGCTGTCTTGGCCTGGGCAGAGCCCAGTTTATATGATGCCCAAGAGAAGTATGTGACTTGCAAGGCTCCAAACGTCTACCATTTTTTTCCTGTGGGGATGCTTCAGATGGCTTCCTTCCCAAGCCTGCTGAGTTACTGTGCTTGGAGCAAATCAGATGCCATATGCAGTAGGCATTTCTTCCAAGATTTTCCTTAACCCAAAAGATATATGATGGTGACACTTTTCTTCTGAATAACTCAGTGTTTCCCTGTGTTTTCTGGATCTCAATGCCAGGTCTCCATATTGAAGGGCGGGAAGACCCAGGGAGGGTGCATGCCTTGCTGAAATCATGGCGATGGACTCCATTTCTCTGGTGCTCATTTGTTGGCCTGTTGCCATAGGGACGCCCTGCTTCCTTTCCTTTAAATGGCAGCTGGACTGCATCTTCTTCTTCTTATCTTGCTCAGTAATGTCCCTAATTACTTTCACACCTTCTCCTCAATGCCGGCAGAATTCCAACGTGCTCCATCTCACCCCTTACAGTACTCTTAAACATCACTTACTTATAACCACCATTATTTATCAGCCAGCCAGATTGCCTAGAACCGAATCCTGGTTTCACCACTTACAAACTGTGTGATATTGGGTAACAATAAATAATGCCTTAATACAAGAGATACACTCTGTGGTATCTACAGGCATTTACACTGATTGTACACTTCTCTGTTGACTGCAAGTTGAGCCATTCTTTCTGGGGAATACACCACTCTGAAGGTTGGTAATTGGTTATAAATGTCTATGTCCCAATTGCCTAAAACAAGTCAAGCTCTGCAGATGGCACCAAAATTCGAAATGGTCCCCTTGACTTTTGCACTGTGCTTCAGACTAACCACACCAGAGCCAGCATCCTTGATGGTCGGAGAGAGCCAAAGGGCTGGTCACCAACCGAGCAGTCCCACATGGTGAGACTCTTTGAATGTTACCACTGCTGCCCGGGGGCTATGAAGGGGCACCAAACTCCCCTTGCAAGTAGGCAATTCCTCTTATCCTTAAAAGAATCTATTAACTCCCTGGTGCTTCATTCTATGTGTACTGGGATGTGACATTACAGGAGGAACACAAGTGCTTTTCCAGAGTCTGGAACAAGTGCATGAGAGCCAGTCATGCAGGACAAGTAGTAAACTGAAACACAGACTTGGACTGAACTTGGCTTACACTTACAAACTGTGTGACGGTGGGCAAGTCACTTAACTTCTCTGGGCTTTTGTTTCCTTCATAGCAGGGGTAATAATTACACCTGTCTCATGGGGTTGTTTTGAGGACTTGATGACACGTAGTGAGGGCTGTATATTAGTATGTGTTTGCCTCTTCCTGTCTGATGGCAATCAGAAATCAACGGGGGGAAGGGAGGGTATGTGATAGGAGGGAATGTATTTTTATAGTGACACTCCCTCAGTGTACAGGAAACACTATGTTCTGTCCTACAGTGACACCTGCTAACGATCCTGGGGGCACCATCTGGTTATAGTCACTCCCCCAACTCCTGTGGTTCCTGTAGTTATAACATGAGTCATAAGGGTCCCCTAGGGGTCCCCAGGGAAGCCATCAGGGCAACACCAGGCTCACTCCTGGAGGAAGGCACTTAATGCCAGTGATTTCATCTCAATGGCACCATCTCAGCCTTTCCGGGTGGACAGAGTGGGTCCGACTGTGGTGGGCCCTCTTGTGTTTGTGTCAAATTGTACCCTCGTCCCCATTTCCTACATACAAACTATTGTTATGAATCTTCTTCTTTCTCTGCACTCCATCTCCTCTCCAGCAGAGCTAATGACAAAAGCTTGGCAAAGTCATTGGAACTAAAGGTAATTTACAGAGACCAGTCATGGTCCGTGGTCAATAGAACACACTTGGGATGAGGAGATAAGACAACAGTTTCCATTACTCCTTCAGGAAGAGGCAAAAGAGCATAATTTCTTCTTGTGCCAATCCAGGAACCAAGGGGAGCTCTCTTCAGTGTGTCTGCAATGAGTTGTCTTGATGATATTTTGGTTTAGCATGCAATTCTCATCTCTGACTCTAGTGGGGAAGGGTAATCAATGAATTCCTCTTCATAAAACCCCCATATGGGGTTGTTGCCTATATACAGCCCAGACGCAGCTTATCTATTTTCATGTTACTTGTTGGAAATTAGGTATGAGTAGACCTAAGTTCTAACCCTGGCATTGCCCTTGTCTTGCTGAGTGATGTTAGGCAAACCACTCTACTTCTCTGGTGCCACTTCTTTTTCATATCATGGGACACCATGATCAGCATGAAGGGAGGATGTGAGAATTACTAAAGGTGATAAAACACCTTCAGCTTCTTTAGAGAGGAGCACTCAATAAATAATCAACATTAAAATGATTCAGGAAGCCATATTTCCATTATATGGGCCATTATGTTATTTAGTGTTAAGAGATAAAACTCTATTCATTTTCTGTTTTCTTATAATAGAATATTAAGCAGTATTAGAAATGATTCACTGGTTTACTCAGCACTGTTCTCCATTTTCCTGGACAATCTTGCTGAAATGAAAAGACCTTCTTGAAAAAGGGGTAATACATCCAGCAAAATGCTTGGCATTGATTCAATGTTGGCCTTTATTTCTTTCTCACTTTTTAATCCCTGTCTCCATTTGCTTTTGGGTGCTCCCTCGGGGCCCAGGTGCTGGAGGGGGTGGGGTGGGCTCAAGAAATAGTGCGAGCTAGAGAACGCCCAGGAATTCTGCCAGGCGCAGTTCAGACAAGAACACTGTTCTGAGAGCTAGGACACCTGCATGCCAGGCCCAGCCCTGTGTGAGCTCCTCGTTTAAGATGGAATTGTAATCCTGACCCTTTTTCCTCAAAGACCAATCCTGAGGACCAAATGAGCAAGGGTACACAGGACAATTATTCAAAAGTTCAATTATTCAAAAGGAGGTGCTTGATGAATGGGGACTGTCATCATCATGAAAAAAGGAGCAAGAGGATCAACGTTCCCTTTATCCACGAGAGACACATGAACAGCATTGTCAACAGTTGTCTCTGACCAGATCCTCACCTTTCTCTCCATCTTCGCCTGGAAGCCTGAGATTCTGATGTTCTCTTCTTCCAGATGCTTGGCCTTCTTCCCCAGGCCCAGCCAGGGTCCTGAGAGGCACAGGCCTAGGACAGAGCTGTGCTCTTCTGAGCCGCCTGGTGGCCGTGGCAAGGAGGCCTTCCACGGGAGAAATGGGCCCCAGTCTCTGATGCCCTAGCAGCTGTGGACATGTGAGCTCAGGCTGGGCTGTGAATGTAAATACCCCCTTTCCTGGAATTGGAATTTGAGGCCTGAGAAGGTCAGAAGAGGGAGAGTCGCTTCTTCAGCAGACACGTGGGATTAGCTTTGGTGACTTCCCTGCTGGGTAGCCGGGTGGTGCCAGCTAATACAGAGGAATATGCCGTGTGACCTTGGACCCTGTAGTGGCTGCAGTGCTGGGAAAGCCATCTAATACCAGTGCACAGAGAGCTAGTTTGATATGAAGATGAGAGGAACTTCTTCTGGTTTATCAGACAAACTAGGAGAACTACGTGCCAGCCATGTGATGACTGACCATGTCGATCTGAGGCTCAGCCAGTCTCCTTCCCTGCCCTGCCCCCTGCCTTCCCCTGCCCTGCCCACCAGCTGTCTTGCCCATCCTCTGCTGCCCATTGCTGTGCCTCCACAAATTCTTTTTAACACCAGCTGTGCCCACTCTAGCCAACCTAACCAGTAGCCTCCTTCTCTTTTTAAAATATGCAGCGCCCTGGCCAGTGTGCACAGTTGGTTGAGCATCGTCCCGTGGAGCAAAAAGTCACCGGTTTGAGTCCTGGTGAGGGCACATGCCCAGGTTGCAGGTTTGATCCCCAGTCGAGGTGTATGTGGGAGGCAATCAACTGATGTTTCTCTCTCTTCCTCTCTCTCTAAAATCAATTAAAAATTAAATCATTTAAAAATGTGTGCAGAAGAGGGGACACATCAGGGATAAGTGACATTAAATCATCTGCCCTTTATTCACCAGTGGAAGGAGCCTGTGTGCCCCCACCAGACACCACACTCCGAGTGTGCAGAGTGTAGCTGAGCCGTGAAGTCAGGAGGGTGCTGGGGCCTCGCTGTGCTGTGGCCTGTCCTCCAGGAGGAAGCACAGGAACCAGCAGGCAGCCATCCCTGACTGAGCAGTCACTCCTGGCCATCTCTATTCAGTGCGGCAGACGCAGTATTTACAGGGACGCCCACAGTGTGACTCTTCCGTTCTTCTTGTTTACCAATCATGCAGCTGCTGGGGGAAAGAATAGCCCAGCACATTTGCACTTAAGTCTTGAAATCTAAATATTTCCTCAAGTCATTCTTAATTACTATATAACTTGGTGTTTGCATGCAAATAAGATGAATGACAGAAATGCTTACCATGTGAACGCGGTAAAGAATGCTAATCCCCAGAGTCATGAACGGCTTGGAGAAATCAATCACCTTCTCACGCTCAGCGGTAATGGTGAGGCCAGCCACAGCCAGGTCTGCTTTCTGGAAGGGAGAGAGAGCCCATCAGGGCGGCCGCATGGGACGGGCACCAGGACAGAGACAGAGGCCACCACTCCTGCGGGTGGCTTCTCTGCCATGCAAGTGACTCTAAGGAGCATCTCCAAGGTCTGCATGATCACTGACGGTCACTGGAGGTTAGGCCCTCTACATACTAATTAAGAATAAAAGGCAGGAAGGACCACTGTAGACTGCTCAGAGACAGACTCAAATGCCCTAGGACAGGGGCAACAAATGGGAAAACTGGTAGATAGGTTTCCTGGAACCTCAACATTGAGTTTTTTTTAATTCAACTTATTAATTTAATTAGTCACTGAAACATCACTGAGTTCCCACGTGGTGTAAGGCACTTTTGCAGGGGGTGGGATTACAATAAAATAGAAGAATAATGGAACCACAGAAATTAAAAACAATCTAAAGCAACCCATACATTTCAGGGCAGATGTTGAAGAAATGGGGCCTAAGAAATCAAGCAAGTGGCCAAACATCACTGAGCTTGTCCATGGAGCTGGGACCAAGCCATAGGCCTCCTGGCCTACTGGCCACTGAAGTTGCTCTTGAGGCTAAAATTCAACTTCCACAGCAGAACTGAGAGAAGGCCTTCTGGTCCCTTTCATGCAAAATCAGCAGAATTTGTTCTGAAGATGTTTCCTTCCTTTCGTTTTGCCTCCATGTTGCACCTTAATGCCCACATTGGACGGTCTGTGCTGAGTTGAGGTCCTCTGGGGAAGGAGGGATACAGGCTCCCTCTTCCAGAAGTTCTTGAATCTGATCTAACTTATCCCACTGCAGAGCAAGCTCACTCCCTAGTGGGCTGCTCCCCTGCAAACAGAGTGGGGAGAGCCCAGCGCTGACGTTCAGTTCTTGTCCACGCTCTGCCCCAGCCACTTCCCTCTTCAAGACTTCTGTTGCCTCATCCCTCAGCCAAGGATCAGGGCTAAGAGAGTGTTGGGTCCTTCTCAGCAGTGCTCAGTGGTTCTCAAATGTAGTCCATGACCCCTGCATCCAATCATCTGAAAGACTCCATGAAAACGCCAGTGCCCGAGTCTCCACCCAGACCAGGAACGTGTGATGCTGACATGCTAACACTTAGGAACTCAGCATGCATCTAGACTGGCTGCCATTTCAGCTTCTTCCTTTTATGTGTGTGTTAATCCTCACCTGAGGATATTTTCCCATTGACTTTTAGAGAGAGTGGAAGGGAGGGGGAGAGGCAGAGAAAGACACATCGATTGTTTGCTTCCCGCAGATGCCCAGGGATTGAGCCTGCAACCGAGGTACATGCCCTTGACTGGAATCGAACCCAAGACCCTTCAGTCCACAGTCTGATGCTCTATCCATTGAGCCAAACTGGGTAGGGCTACATTTCAGCTTCTTTAACTCCTAATTCTTGTGGATCAATTGATGAAAAATATGAAGAAAGAAATATCAAAAAGTAAAGTGTCCAACCATCTGTAAGCAGATAAATTCACACACATTCCTCCCCCATCACTGAAAGGAAGTAGGGAGAGAGACATGCTGGCCCTGACTTTCTACACCAGGGTGTGTGATGGATGAGAGGGTACATTCACTGGCAAGGTCAGTTTCTTCTCTACTGCCCGCCCCCCCTCCAGTCCTCCAACCCAACTCTGTTCCACCTGCTAAAGCCGCCAGGAGACTTAGAAGGTTAATAAGCTCAGGGCCTTACACAGGGAGGCCAGGCTGAAAAGAGACTAGCCTGCAGATGTAAGAGATTGTTAACAACAAATAAAAACTATGAGTAGCTCATTGTGCTCATTCTGTATTTCTCCAAGACAGTGTTGAATCAACCCTTGGGTCAGGGAGGGAGGTGGGGTAGAGGCCTGTTAGCATCTGCATTTGGAGAATCTGTGGAGGGTTGTTTGGGGCTTTTAGAACCTCAGCCCTGCATTGAGTTCAGTCAGCCACAGAGCCCAGCGTGCTCCATGCCCCGCTGGTGCGTGGTGGGTGCCAAATCGGCAGCCCAAGACTTGGGAAGAGGAAGAGGCAAAAAGAAAACTGGTTGGAAAGAAGGAATTGAAGAAATGATAGAAACCAAAACTATTAAGACGGGTCAGAGATAAACACAGCACCCAATCCTTTGACCCCCCAGCTCCTTCAAATCCTCATAGTAAACTATAAGAAATGTTATAAGGGAGGCGTGTATGGCACCAGGAGAAGGTAGAGCAGAGCCTAAGAAACCCACAGGCCTTTCCCGGGGTGAAACTCAGTTGCCTGACAGGATTCACCTGAGAAGGCCTGGGGGGAGTGTCCTGAGGAAGGGACAGCCTGTGCCCAGGCCCCGTGGCAGGGAGGAGCCTGGTGCCTCCAGGGCTGGAAGAGGCCAGAGGGCAGAGGAGCCAGGGAAGAAGTGAGCTGTGCGAGAGGCTGGAGAGGCAGGTGTGAGATGCAGCGCCTGAAAGAATTAGAAGGCCCTGCAGTGCTTTAAGCAATGGAGGGCCTGCAGGACCGCTGTGTGATGCTAATGCAACCAGCACCTGCAGCCCTGCCTGTGTCAGGCTCTGCCCTGAATGAGCACGGCACCGGCATTGCCTTGCTCGGTGCTCACAACACCTCCAGGCGCTAAGTCACTAGTTTGACCCCCATTTTACAGATCAGGAAAATGAGGCACAGAGAGGTAAGGAACTTGTCCAAGTTTCAGATAAAGCAAGTGGCAGACCTGCGTTCAAACCTGGTCAGTTTGGTTCCGAGGCTGCCTCCTGAACCTGCAACAAATCCAATTAGCTCTAGTGAAGGGAATGATTGCAGAGAGGCAAGAAAGACGCATCCTAATTGTCCCTCACTGCCTCCTGCTCACCCCACACAGGCAACCCACTGTCCAGGCCAGCACTCTGCCAGGGTCACCTGCCGGCTGGTGACTCTGTGACACAAGGTCTACATGTGGCTGTGCACACACCCATGCAGGTGTTTGAGGACAGACGGTGGGAAGGCTGAGGACCTGAGCCCAGAGAGGAAGTGCAAGCAGAGCCTAATGTCAGGAGGTGGGTGACAGACACGGGAGGAAGGGGAGGAGAGAGCACCACAGAGATTCACTGGTCACTGATTTCTCTCCATAACCCAGGGGTCAGAAACAGTGGTGACTTGTCCAAGCCACAGAGCTGATGCCAGCGGATCAGGGACCTGCATCCTGGGCGGCCAGTAGGGAGGAAAGGGGTGTGAGGACGGTGTGAGCAGCGGGTGCTCCCGGTTCATCACACCTGTCCTGATGCCTCCCGGACGGAGCTCCGCCCAGCCTTGCCCTCCCGCTGGCCTCCCTCACCCAGGGCTCCCCATACTCCTCTCCGTCCTGACCCTGGGGCTTCAGGTCCAAGCCATGGATGCCTCCCACTCACCATCTGTAGCTACTTTTCCATGGACTGTTTCTCAGGTCATGAGTTACCAGCCACCTGCCACCAACACTGAGACCAGGCGTCAGCCAGGAGCCTCTTCTCCCTTCCTATCCTGTTCCTCCCCATTAAGAACTGAGTCCCAGCCCCGCAACACCTGTGAATCATTCCTGTCTCTTGAATCTCAATGTTGCTGTCCTCAGGTCTCCATGTGAATCACTCATGAGTCCCTGCGCTGGTCTGCTGCTTCCTGTCTCGCACTCCATCCAGCCATGAAATTGCATGGCCCCAGCATTCTCAAATCCAAACCCGCACCAGCATCGCCTGGACCTGTTAGAATGCAAATCGCTGGCCCCTCCAGAGTGCCCACTTCAGTGGGTCTGGATGGAGCCGGAACGGAATGCAGGTTCCTGGCGCATCCCAGGGCTGCAGCTGGTCCCAGACCACACCTGGACAGCCACTGCTCTGGGGTCTACTTCTACACCACAGATCTGACCACCTCATTCCTGCCCACGAACACCAGTGGCTCTGGCTGCTTGTAGCGTACAGCCCACACTCCTCACAGCCACTTCACAGCCTGGCCTGGGGCTGCCTTTCCAGCATCACCTCCTGCTACTGACTTCCCTCCACCTGTGACGGGGCCACATGGCCCAGGCATGTTCCTTAAGCCTGTCAGGTATTTCAGACTCCAGGTCTGTCCCCACAGTTCCCTCTGCCTGTAACTCTCTCCCCTTGGTGCCTATCAGTTCCCGCGGGGCCATCAGGGCCCCCTCACTGTTAATTCCCTCGGAGGCTTCAAGGACATGAGATCCACATGGACTTCGATGTCAGGCAGGTTGGCTTTGAATTTCAGAGCAATCGCTTGTTAGTTGTGTGACCTGAGTTGGCCTTTCTGGTAAGCTGATGGCAACCTCAGCCTCTTCGTGATGAAATGTGAGTAACAATGTGCACCTCACCGGCTGTTGGGGAGGAAATGGCGCATGATAAATGCTGGGCGGTGCTCGGTCCTCAATACACAAGAGCTGTGCGTGTTGTGAGCTTTGTGCCAACGCTGCCCGCTTCCCTGGAGCGGAACCGCCTCTATTTTTCTCTATGTTCCCATGAAGTTTGTAAGTGACTCCATTTTGCATGTACTACAGGCTGTGGCCTCGTTATTTTATACACTGCGCTTCATTCAGAGCACAGGTGGCCATCAGCTGAATTATAAAAATCGGTCCTTCCAGGAGCCTCAGTGGGCACATGGCTTGGCAAACATAGGCCTCTTTTTTTAAAAAAATATATTTTATTGAGTTTTTTACAGAGAGGAAGGGAGAGGGATAGAGAGTAAGAAACATAGATGAAAGAGATCGACCAGCTGCCTCCTGCACACCCCCCAGTGGGGATGTGCCCGCAACCAAGGTGGACACAGCCTCCGCACAGCACATGCTTGGCGAGCAGGGTGGTCTTGCCCGTCACCCGTGTCCAATAGACAACCTGCCCAGCAGTCCTCGGAGGGCCATGCACAGAGACCGTCAGTACAAGGGAGTAGCCGCTGTTCCTCCTCAACCTTGAGCCCAGTGACGCTGAATCCATGCATTGGCCGAGGACAGAAAACATGTCCAAGGGGCTAGTAGGACCCTGGCTTCAGGGTCAGGATAGGAC